TAAATTAAAATTAATTATTATTTTATAAAGTTGCCAAAATTTTGGCAACATCATTAAAATGTTACAAAAATACTACTTTGATAACATTTAAAAAATGTTACCTAATTATGCAAAAAATTTATTAAAAGTCTTTAATAACATGGACTATATACAACATTTGATAATATGTTGCTAAAATAAATTAGCAATATTTATACATAATTAAATAATATTTTTTAAATGTTGTTAAATACTATTTATGTTGTAGTGATAGTTAACTTTAATCTTACGTGAAATCGTATTTTTTGCTAAATTAAACTTATTGATGCATAAAAAATGTCTTTTTAAGAATTAAATCCCTGACTGAAAGTATCACCTTGCTCCTACAAAAATTACCTTAATAGAAAAATGTTATATCTTCTTATTAAAAACAAACAAATTTCTTCTTTCGTCTGAGTTTCTATAGAGAAAAATCAAACTCATCAATTATACCAAAAAAAAAATCCTATTCTTATAATATGCAGAGACTAATTGACTACGCTAAAACATATTTTATCATAAAATTAAATTATAAGTAGTTAGACTAAAAATTCTATTAAATTATATTTTTAAATTTAACTAAAAAAGTATTATAATACAAATCTATTGAAACATGAGATAATAATATGTTTATAGTAAGAAAATATTTCATCTATAAATAAATATAAAATATTATAGTAAAGTTTTAAAGTATTGATAATTATAACAATTAATAAAAATATATAATTATTTCAATTTCAACTTAAAATATTACCAATTCCTTTCACAGATACAAATTTAACATTTCTACACCTCAATTATGTAAGTCTCAAACAAGTCATACAAAAAAGTAATTATTTGTCTTGGTGAAATGATCATTTAGTTCTTAAAAGACATGTCTACAACAATATAAAATATTTCAATATGATATTATCATACTATTGTGACTAGAGAAAATGAAATATTTTGTGAATATGTGTTTAACAAATAAAAATAAAATAAGAAAATAGTATTTTAAAAAAAAAGCAGAAAGAGTGAGAAAAATAGCAAGTAGTTATTTCGTTTTTAAAAAAACTGTGTAACAGTTACTTTGTTTTCAAATTTTATCCTTTAATAATAACTAATACATTATTATTAAGGGGTAAAAACATCAAAATAAATGTGTAGATGAAAAGGAAGTATTATCTTTATAATAGTTATAAATATTATTATTAAAGAATAAAAATGTTAAAGTAAATGTATACACAAAAATAACATATTGTCTTTTATAATAATTAATTTATAATAGATGTATGAGTTGAGTTCTTCAAAATAGATCTTATATATCAGAATGTAACAGGCTTATTGCATGCGTAAATCACATAAAAATAGGAGACTTGAATTATGTTTTAAGAGATTTCCACCAAAAGTTGAATGGAGGACTAAACAAATAACTAATGTATTTAATTTTATTGAAGAAATATATGAAAACCAAATGGCTACCTCACCAATATATATATATATATATATATATAATTTAAAACTTTTCCTTTTCAATATTTCGTTGTCAGTTGTCAAATGAAAAATAAAATCTATTTTTCTTTCATTTTCTTTCTTTTCCTTATCTTTAGTTCCAACTATACTGTTGGAGAGAAGAAATATCGACAAATATATCACCATGAAATTTTGACAAATCCCTATTAGATACACTTTTGCATTTAATAAAATTTAACGATAAACTTAAATTAAATTTGTGATTATACCGGTTATCATTATTTTGGATTACTTATTTGATTATATTAAGTAGGTTTAAATATATTATCTTTTAAATTTGAGATAATTTTATTTTTATCTTTCAAATTTATAATTAATGTTTTTAGTTTATGTAATCTAAAAATAAGAATATTACATTAAACTTAAATGATCTTGCATAATGATCTCAAAATGTTACTTTAAAATATGTTATTAATGATTTGAATGAATAAAATAAAATTTTTAAAAATTATAGAAACTACAAATAAATAATTTTAAATTTAAGAAGTAAAAACAAATTTACTCTAAATTTAAATAATTAAAAATATATTTAAAACATTCTAATTATTTTGAATTTGTTATATGGGAATCCAAATAGTCCATAAGTAAGGCAGAGTTAGGTTTGTTAAATAAAGACATCCCCCCACCTACACACATAATGACATAAAAAGAAAATGACTTGTTTAGTTTGGGATTGACGCTCCTTAAAAAGACCCCAAAAAAAAATCAAATATATTTAGATTGTCTGAGTTAGACACGTTTAACTCCTTTTTTCAAAAAGAATTATTTATATTAATTTTGTGCATTAAATATGTTCAATTTTTTAAAATTATTGTTTTTACTTCTTACTATTATGTAATATTTTAACTATTGAGTTGTTTATTAAAAGACTAATTGATTATCTTAGATGTTATCTACAATTATTAGCAATATCATATAAATATATGACATTTCTAATTTTTTTATAAATTATTAAAAAATGTTATTTATTTTATTAAAATGATTATTAGGGGAAAAATACTGAATTTAGATTTTAGAGAAATAAAAATTAATATATATATATATATATATGAGGGGGTTATAATTATACCGGTGTAACTTCTACTAAGTATTACACCACTCAATAACTTTATATTAATTGTGAATTTTGTAAATTCAACCGTTAGATTGAAAGTTCATATCACTTTATACGTATATATCAAATTTTGTTAAAATTGAACAATAACTTGAAGGTAATCAAAATGTTCATATTTTAGTGTATTTTGAAAATGATATATCATGTCAATTTTATTTTATACAAATAAACTATTAAATCATCTTGGATTAATATAAAATTTTGTATATATGATCTAAGAGATATAAACTTTCAATCTGACGGTTGGATTTACAAAATTTACAATTAATATAAAGTTATTAAGCGGTGTAATACTTAGTAAAAATTACATCGGTGTAATTATAACCTCTCTCTCTCTCTCTCTCTATATATATATATATATATATATATATATATATATATTAGAAGAACCAAACCTAAAATTTGTTCATTTTACAAGAATAAAAATAAATGTTTATAAATGTTAAAAAGATAAAAAGTTAAATAATTTTTTTATAAGAATCAAAATCAATATATAGAGTTTGCTAACTTACACTAAATCATGTTTTTAGAATGTAAGTTAACAAATTATACTTGAGTGTATTTTAAAACATATTATAATTATAACTTGTTAATATATTTCTTCTAAAAAAGAAGTTGGTATATGTTAGCAAATCCTACTTGTTAACCAACACCTACTTATACTTTAGAAGAAATAATTAGTAAGCTACACTTAGATACATTTTTAGAAGAAAGAATTTTTTATATATATTACTATCCAATTACAAATTATTATGCATAAAAGTTTTATTGACTTTTATAATAATTACTTTAAAAATCATATCTATCATGATATTTCATCAGTTATTTTTATAAATCTCCTTTACACTAACAATTATAAAAATTAAACTTAAGTATTAATTGATTACTTATATAGTGTGTTTGGTATGATAACTCATTTTATGATTTTATAACTTATTTTCATAAGCTAATTGAAGTAGCTTTTAGTTTATAAGCATATTGTTTTTTTTTTCTCTTTCTTTTTTCATCTTCATTAATTTACTTGAAATATTTTTCATTCTTTTTAATTTAGAAACCATTAAGCATATATATTATTCTCTCACCCTTATCATCAAATACATAAATATATTATTTTACATTAATCAACTAACTTATCAACTAATTTTTTATTAAGTCAATTAACTTGTAAATTTTTTAATTTTCAGCTCATAACTTTGTTTATAAATTTTTAATCAACTTATAAACTAATTTTACCAAATACATGCATAATTATACATCATTAATGAATATATATATATATATATATATCACTAAAAATATTAACAATTAGCAACTTTAATTTTATAAGTAATTACACTTATATTCCCATGCACCTCTAAGATTTATTATTATTAAAAAAAAAACATTTAAGTGAGTTGGATATTATAAACCTCTATAATCAGTATATTCGTTAAGACTTAAGATTCAAAGAACACTTAGGGAAATAAAGTAGTATGTACTATGTAGAAATAGATATTTTATAGATTTCGAGATCTACCCTTCAATATGGCACTAAAAAGCCAAAATAAATTATTTTAGCCATACACTTTACATGTTTCTAATGATTCACTTGATATTTTCTTTTCAAATGATATTTTCTTTTCAAATGATAGAAGTGTTGATAAAAATCAAAAACACACATACACCGCCCACAATGTCTTCCCCATCAGTGACGTGATTTAAAATCACATCATTGATCGATGAGTATGAGGCTTACCAACTAAACCAAATTTTGTTTGCAACACAGCTTGGATTCAATACTACTTCAGTATGCAAATAACATTACTAGAAATCCCATGTTGGATAATGTCATTTTGAAGGTATTCTCAGACTCAGAAGACATTACAGTAAACCATCAATTGATATTTCAAGTATTACTAATATCCAAAGTATTTAATATTAATCAATTTAGTTAGTATCGATATATTACTAACTTCCAAAATCTAATTTTAATAACTTTCCAATATTTGAAGCTATTAGAATGATTTCCAAAACTTGAGAGACCGTTTTAGTATATTTTCTAATAGTTGAGAGGTTATTTATATGAATTGCTTACTTTATGCAATATTTAGGAGAGGAATACTTTAAGATAAAATTGATAGTTTATTTTTTATAATATCCCCACAATCATTTTGAACCCATTTTGACAGCCAACAATGTATTTGAAGCGCGAAGAGAATCAATGCACAGTAATGGATATGTAGACAGATACACATCGTTTTTTATTTTATTTTATTTTTTTGGATATTGCTACAAAATAAATAATTCAAACTTCAGAGAATGCACCATTTGAATAATAAGCTAGTGGGATAAGAACGTTGTTGATGATGATGCACCATTTAATATATAAAAACAGAAAAGAAGATTTTATTTATATAAAAAAAACCATTTTATAATCATGAGTTCATCAAATCCTGGCACAACTTCTCAATTATGTTATATGGTACATATGAGCATCACTTTTCCCAGTATAAGTAGAATCCCTGTATCGTAGAGGAAATACTACATTTTTCTTAAATTGTCTAACCTTGCCTGTAAATCACTATCTATACCTCCATCATCATTCCCAGTAGTTTCAACCTGAGGTACCTTTGTCTTTGCAGCTGGGGCAGCAACAGCTGATGATGGTGCATTTACAAGCTGTACATCAAAAAAAAAAAAAAAAAAAAAACTCATCATGCTTTGTTATAGTGACTAAGAGTCTGATTCCTTACAAGCTTAAAAGAGTTTTTGAGAGCTTCTCTACTAAAAAAAGTTCTTAATTTTTTACAGAGAATCTCTCAAAAACCCTTTTAAATTTGTATTCAAACGAGTTCTAAGTCATTTACTTTCAGGTGAAAAGAGATGTTGAATGGGAAACCATAAACATACCTCTTGGTTAACGTCAATACCAATCTCATCAAGAACTTGGTTCACTAGATCTTCAGTTTCTTCTTCATCTTCTTCTCCTTCCAAAGCATCATCTATTGCATCTCCCATCATCTCGGATGTCAATTCCATCTTCTCATTCTGTCTCTCAAATTCTTGCATGATTTTCTGCAAAGATGGCAAGTTCATCTGCCTATTCATTTGCCCCATGGCCTTTGTCACGCCTTTCATAGCCTCGCCCATTGCTTGTGTCGATTTCAGAGTCTGAACAATCGTAGCACAAAAGAAACTACCTTTTATTAATTGAATGAGTATCATAAAGTGGTCAGTTTTGATCAAAATTGTGACTATTCCATGGAAAACAAAATGCCATGATCCTTGGGGAAGAACCATGATCCTATATTAACCATATATGCTAAAAACAAATTAGGAATCAATAGATACAGTCACCACAACAACATACCTGAATTCTGAGTGATACACCTTGGAGCTGAGACTTTAGCTTATAAAACTTCTCAACCTGATGCCTTGTTCTAACCAGATCTTTTGCCATAACTCTAACAGCTCCCTGGACAACATTACATGAAATACAAAAAATGACATTGGTGAAACATGTACCACTCACCTTAAAGGTTAAATCGAAAGTTAACTATAAATAACAAATAAACACATACATAAGGCATTGCAGACAAATGTAGATTTGGGGTAAAACTCTAAACTCAATGGTAAAAATCATTGAAACCAAACTAGATTCATCATGCGCAAGCCACCAGCACCACCTTGCTTCCACCGCCACCAGCACCACCATCTCTAACACTGCCACCACCACCACTGGCACTGCCTAACTATTTTCTAATGACTGCCAAGGGCAGAGATAAAAACTGACATGCTCTGTAGATCCACGACAATTAATATGCAGAGGTGGGTCCTGAACATAGTCTGATCCAAACTTAGAGTTTGGAACCTCCAATCATGGGTGTAGAAATTCGCTTTTCTGGTCACATGTTGTCTTTGGCAAGCAGATCCTTAATATATTCCATTCGAGATAAGAGGACCACTAGAAAGATATTTAGATTAAATTCCCAAGAAGTAATCTCTTATCCAATCGTTTGAGGGCTAAAATTAAGCTTAACTATTGGCTGCTGAATAAGGATAGGATAATTTCCTTGATAAAAATGTCATCAACATAGGCTAGGAGTGGCCGCAAGTGGTTAATATGAACTGAGATAAGTCATATTTGCACAACATAAAAAGGGTATGTAGAGTGTTGGCAAACCTCTCAAGTAATGGCTGTTTTTGGCCATATAATGCTTTCTGAAGTTAGAATACAAGACATTTATCAACATCTTCAAATCCTGAAGGCTGGACCATGTAAACTTCTTCATCTAGATACTTGTTTAGGAAAGCATTATTAATATCCAGTTGCTATGTTGGCCATTTATTGGCAAGAAGAGTTAAAAAAATAAATAAATAAATAGCTTGCACAGCTGAGTGCCAATTTCAGTTTAAGAGAGTCTGCTTGGCTGGAAAGGGATCCACATGTGACACGAGAGTTGATACAATCTGAGGTTTGTAGATGCTAGACTTGGATCTAATCTGCATTGGATGAGTGGGGAGGAGAATCAGTACGAGTGTTGAGGACATCCAGAGAATCAAAATATATGAGGGGAATGTATAGTATAGTAGAGGGAGGCAGAGAACAGCACAAGAAGGAGAAGAAGAAATGGTGGAAAAGGAAGAGACAATGAAGTGGAAGATGTTTTGGGATAAAACCAGTGAAAGGGAAACCTAGACTTGTTGAGTAACCAAGAAATACATTCTGTAGAGTGGTAGGACAGGTTATGTTAATTCTAAGGTCTTACGTAAGGCTAGAAGGCGCCTGAATGTTTTGAGAGAGGAATAGTCAGGAACTCCGTGTCTCCACCATTGTTTGAAGTTGAAGGCAAGACAAATGATGAGGTAGACAGAATTCCTGCCTCTGCCACCTCTACCATGCCCTCAAGAATGGTTCCATTGAGGATGAAATTAACAGTTACAAGGTTCAAAGCCAAGAGATTGTGCATGTGGTGATGAAGCAGTGCTCACCAAGCCAGAATGAACATAGTTTGCTGAACCAGACAGTGAGCCCCAAACAGTTGTGTGAGCAATGTTCACCAAGAAAGCATCTGACACTGAGACTGTCAACTATTTTCTAGTCTACCTTGTGATCAAGTAGCAGTGCCTCAAGCTAATTTACAGTGTAAGGTTCACTGAGACTAGTGATGGACATGACAATGAATCATAGTCATCGGGAAATCCATCAAGAATCAGATCAATGTGATTTTGTGGGAGCACTGGATCATTAATGGAAATCAGAGAGTCAATATTAGCCCTGATTACTCCGAAATAGATCATGTGCCTTTCTTTGAGTTTCAGATTGCACTGTCGAGCTTTGGCACAAGAGTGAAACTGAAAAAAACCATGTATATCATCCCAGAGTTGCCAATAATGAGTGCATCCAATGACTCTGGTGAGGATGGATTCAGATAGAGGGGAGAGGAGAAAAGTAAACAAGAGTTGATCTTGTGGCTCCTATTGCAGGTAAGCTTAATTGATTTTGCCAAGGTCACAATTGTCCTTGCTGAGGAAACAAGGTGGAACCTCTGAATGAACCACATATCAGTGAAAGTTATAAGCCTTGAAGACAACTTCAACTTGCCAATTCAAGAGAAGAAAGTTCTACTGAGCTGCACTGAGATGGAGTGTGAAAAGGTCACTGGAGCAATGGAGAGCATGGGCAATGAAGAGCTGTGATCAGCAGAGTTGAACAGATTGCTATGTGCGGTCAATGGCCATTGATCAGGATCATTGGCAAGTTTGTGATACCATATTAGAATTCAGTAGTAGATAGAAACTGAGATAAACTAGAGTGAAAACAGAGAGAAGAAGTAAAGAGACAAGACTTCTTCAAATGAAACAGAATGATTTCACTCTGTTGTTCCAAAGGGATAATGTGGTATTTATATACAGATGATTTATATTAACTGAATCCTAACAAACCACTTGATCTGAACAATAATGCTAGACTGGAAATCAGTTAGTTATCAGTTGACTGTTAAAGCTCTAACTACTGCAACTAACTAGAAGAACAAATAAGCCAAGCTAGCAGTAAACAGTGAATGTTTCTACTAAGACTTATCAATACAATCAAACATGATGTAGAGGAGTTCCAATTTAAGAAAATGGGAGTCCTATTTATTTATGTTATGAGTTTTTTTAAATAATTGAAAATTGAACAACATAATTTCGCTTGATTTTGCTGAGATTGAGAGACACTGCAACTATATTCACCAATATAACATACATAATGCAACGACATAAATCCCATACCTAAATTGTGCAATTTTGCAAATAATGTGATAGACAAAGGATATCAGAAATGACAATGGAATTGAAGTGACAAACACATTCAAGACACCCCAAATTCAATGAAAGAAGGATCCCAATGCTGCAGATTGCAGAAAGGTAAAATTTAAAAAGAAAATAATTATGATCCATTTCACCATAGGTAATTCAAGAATCTCATTAGTTCTACAACAGTAATTAGCAGATCCATTAGGAAAACAGGTATCATATAGAGCCTGCAATAACAGAGAGGAAGCAGTTATCTATGGCAAGCACAGAAACAACAAAGTCACATCCCCAAAATCAATGTAACTATATCTTGGTTATTATGAGTGATAACATTAAGCAAAACAATTTCCTCAACCACAAGTATCAATAACACAGAGAAAACAATAAGGATAAGAAAAACAAAATAAAATAATATCGTCTCTGTAGCCATCACATTCAGGCCCTCCTCCTTTTAAAAAGGAGCAGTAAATTCCAATCCAAATCCTCTACCAGACAGCAGAACTTGGGTGTTATAAATTTGTATCGAAAAAAAGCTAAATTAAGATATTCACAGTGAGACATGTTCACCATACGTATCATTAAAAACTAAGGCAAACAATACAATTAAGACACAATCACTATACCATCTGGCCCTGTTTGGCACTCTTCTTTATCTCCAAAATCAATTTCTTCTCCTGTGCTTGCAAACCCTGCCGCTCACGCTCAATTTCTCTAATTGATTTGTCCAGCATCCTCTTATTTTCCCGCAGAAGCTCTGAAAGTCACAAACTTGAAGGTCATGGACTACGAAATCAATGCACAGTGTTACTGAATGCCACCAAATCATTCAAAAGTGTGTTGATGCATGCGAGAAACTTGCAATCACTCTCACAAAAGCACCCTCGTTTGAATCAAGTACACAACAAAATGAACCAATTAGTAGTTCATTAAAATTACGATCTTTATAGTTCAAAGCATAATTGAAATTGAAATTAAATCTTAAGGTAATTTCTGAATCTTATCAGAACAAGGAAACAAAAGCTAACAAAAACATAAAATACAATAAATCTCAACTTAAATCTACAACACACCAACCACAAAAAAGGAAAACAAAAGCAAAGAGGACAAGACAATCATCAAAAAAAAAAAAAATTGCATAACCCGTCTAACAAGTTTTGTGGTACATATGATTATGCTAAACGTATAAGTAAAAGAAAATGCAAAAAATTGATGACGGGTGATAGCTCTATAATAAAAATTGAGCAACCCCATTTCGAAAAATTAATTTTTTTTTTCTTTTTTCGACAGAACAAGCGATGATGGACAAACCTGCGGGCGTTTTCCTCTTTCCGAAGATGAAACTCATGGCGGTGGAAGGAAGAACCTTAGCAGAGATGGAACAGAAAGTGTAACAGTGCGTAATAGGGTCCGATCTAATCCTCTGTGATGCGTTTGGGTGACGGTGGTTTTGATCGCAGGTTGCTTACGCGGTAAGCGTTGAAAGAAGGAATCATCAACGAACCATTCTCTCCGTCTTTTCCCACACGTACCGTACTTGGGATTGGACCCACCGTTGCAAAAATTTAATTACTTTCCTTCACTTCTTGTAACTACCATACACCACTTCTTACTGCGAATTTGGATCCTTTTTTATCATTTACTGTGAATTAGTTTGTTTGTTTATTTTTTTTTCTTTGGAATATCCATCGTTGATAACAGTGACTAATTTTCTCGCTACGTTGGAAGCACTTCAAAAGGTGGAATAACTGGCATTTTCTGTATGAGAGATGAATAACAATTTTTCTTAATTGCAAATTCAATATATTTGAGTCTTGAACTAAATGCATTTTAAACTAATTGAATCTTTTGGTACATATTTTTTATTTTTAAGTAAAATAAAGTTTAATATTTTGCAACAGTTTCTTATTATCTATTGAAGTATTATTGATGAGTATGAGAATTAATAAGTGAGAGATTTTTCTAATTTAATAAATGATTTTGAGTTTGAATTTTGAATAAACAATTGCATTAAATTCTTAGATGAAAAGTTTTAGTGTCTATAATAGTTCTATTTAACTTAAATATGATTGTTTTGTCGTGAAAGATACTTATAGTCTATTATAAGATGAATAACCTTATCTTGAAGTTCATCCTTCACATGTGTATGAAAAAACAAATAACTATATAATTAACTTTATCTTTAACAAAATCTTTTATATTATATATAATGCTTTCAATTCATTAGAAAATAATTGTATGATGTACATTATAATGCTCTCTTCTGAACACAATTTTTATTATTGGCTAAAATTTATTGAAAAAATACAAAATTTGATAGTCTCACTTATTATTTGATGACTCTCTCTTAATTACACGGTTTGTAATAGTTTCTAATCAATAGCAAAGTGTGTATTAGAACAAGTATGCTAAAAAGTTTATTGTTAATACTCTTCATTATAATTGTAAGCAAGACATACAAAATAGAAAGAAGTTTGTCTTTACTAAGAATTAACAAAGTTTTTTTTCATCAAGATCTAAAAGGTCATTGGATGTATTTCTCTCTAACAAAGAAAAGTCAAGAAGCAAAGGACTTCAAGTTGTTTGTTCATTCTACAAGATTATGTACTAAGGTGTTCTTGGATTTTTTTCAAGTAAGAAAAGGCTCATCGTTGAGTTTGGGGCTATTAATCAATTTGATTGAGTATAAAAAAAATAACTAACGGATTATCATGGATGAGTTCAACTTTAGAAGTTCTTTTCGTCAAAAATTGATTCCAACTAAATTTACTTAAAAAACTTTAGAAATAAACTTTTGAATTCATTGACTCATTCACTTGATGCCTCCAACCTATAACTTGGACAATTACTCAAGTTTTGAAACCCATTCTTTCATTCACGTTAATTGAGTAACACTCATCAATATATTACTTTTAGTTCTCTCCCTTATTGACTATTCACTCTTACATCTCTCCTTTATTTGATTGTGCTTGCATTTAGTTTTTTTCATTCTTAGTTTTTTCTTTGATCTTCTTCATCCATTTATGCTTGCATTTAGTTTGTTACATTCTCAAATTTTTCTCCTTATCTCCTTTGTCCCCTCTGTTGCTCCACTTCACTTATTTTTCTTTGGCATGACAATGCGTGTTTTTGGTGTTTCACCATATATGCCTCATAACCATGCATAATCCTCATTTATGATCCAACAATCATTGCTTATTGCACTAGATCTACATGTTTTCTCAAGAGGAGCATTTAGATTTGTGATGTTTGTCTATAGTTGCATGTTGTTATTTTGGCATTTCATTTCACGTGAAGAGGAAAAAAGAACCATCATGGTCATACAACAACAAAAAAAAAAAAAGTTATCCACTTCAAACTGCTTATGTTTTAAATCAAACTCAATCCAATACGAAATTCAAATGAGCGATAACGAATTATAGTTTAACTGTTTGGTTTGTAATGGGTTAGACTCTTTGAATCCAATTCCGCTCAAACCAACTATTGCACACCTTATGATGTTTTGTGTATTTTCTCATTGCGTTCTTGAGAAATTATGGATTTTCAAAAATTATTGTATGATTGATTGGATTGATAAAATTTTGTATAACTTGTTTTGAAATGATTATAAACATGTTAAGACTTAATCTAAAATCATGAGTATGTGTTAGATCTTTTCTTTTGTTCTCCTATCTTTGTCATGATGTCCTAGATTATTCTCACTAGGATGAAAATTTGTTAGTTTTGTTACTTCAATCATTGTTTAAAAGAGTGTTATATTATAGGATAGTTGTGCGTTACCACTACTAGAATTTATTTTATTTTATGCGACTTTTCATGCGAATTTTGTATAAAAATTCGTAGAAAACGTGGCTTTTATGAATTTTTCTACGAAATTTTATCTTCGAATAGTACCTTTATGAATAATATGTTTTTACGAATTTTAAAATTCACAAGAAATTCTACAGGAAAATTTCTTATAAAAAAATCAAATAAATTATTGCACAAAGTTTCTCAAGAATTTAATTTAAAAGTAATTTTTGTGCAAATTATTTTGTTAAAATTCACAAGAAATTATTTCATAATTGCGAGTGTCAAATCACCATCCATTTGCTTCCATATATGATTCATAACCTTTTAAACTCGTAGATTGTAAATTATAGGTCTAATATTTAATCTTACAAAATTAACTTGAAAGGTGAGTATTACCTCAACTTATATACTATTTAATTATTTTATTTCTAATCGATGTAAGACTTAAGATTTTCTTTAAATATTAATTAGACCAAGTCCTTAAAAAGAGAATAAATTCATTATATTGAACTATAAAACTATATTATTATAAATTATATTAACCCTAAATACATTCAACATTCTAAAAAATAGTTTTTATTAAATAATTTTATTTTAAAAATTTTCATTAAATTATAACTCATTATCATTAATTTATACATTTAATTAAAATAAATATTTAATTTATCAATATTTTAAATTAAAATTAATTTTTATGAAATATTTATAAATAATTTAGTAAAATAATATTTTGTTAAGTAAATACTTTTAATTTTAAATTTTTATAAATTATCATTAAATTAAAACTCATTATCATTAATTTATCATATTTATAAAACTTTCTATATTTAATTTAATTAAAATTAAAATTAATTAAAATGATATTTTTATAAATAATTTAGTAAAATAACATTTTTTTTAATTAAAAAACTTTTAATTATTAAATCTATAAATTTTAAAAAAAATAATTTTTTCTGCGAGTTAAAATTAAGAGGAAAATCTATAGGAAAAGTTACCTATGAAATTCTTCTACCATTTAGTATAATACTATTAAAAATTACCTGTGAATTTATTTTTACAAGAAAATTCAAAAAAAAATTCTTACAATATTTTTTTACAAATTTTTATTATGGAAAAAAATTTCCATCATCATTAAAATTATAGTAAAATTTGCAAAAATTTCTTGTAGATTATTTTCTATAAAAAATTGTAAGAAATTTCTATAAGTTATTTTTTGCAAAAAAATTCTATGAAATTATTATTATAATAAAATTTGAAAAAAATTCTGCAAATAATTTTTTTATGAAAAAATTCGCAGAATAGAAAACACTTTTATAGTAGTGTACGCAAATAAGTTCTTGAAAATAATATTTGTATACATCTTATATTATTTAGTTTTTTGATTTTTTTTTAAAGAAAATGATTAGTGATTTGCAATTCGCAATTGATACAAGTTTAGTAAAGTTGAACAATAAATACAACACTTTCGAAGCAAATTATAGATCACAATTGAATTGAATTAGAAATGAAAGAGGATAGCATTTTTTCATAAAAATTATTCATTTTTTATTCTTTTACTGGTGCATTTAGAATAATGTTATCATCATAGTAGTGAAAATCATGATTTTGAAAATTGGATTGAATCTGTCGGAATGATTGATTCGATGAAAAATCGATTCTTAACAAATTTGATTAGTTCCAAAATTTATTTTGTAGTAAATCGATCAAAAATTAGTAGAATTAATCGAGAATTAATTAAAATTGATAAAAAAAGTGGTCAAATCAATTTGGATTGGTTCAATTAAAAAATATATTTTTTAATTTTTAAAAAATAATTTAATATATTTTTAATAAAAATTCATATTTAAAAAATTATAATTAAAATAACTTATTTTAAATATTTCTCTTATAAATATAATTTAATCATTTAAGTTAATTTTTATTTTTTATGAGACTTGCTATGATGTAATAAATGATGTTCATTTGAAGTTGTTTATGTTGCAAGTTGTATGACAATGATTTTGTATCCCTAGCTTACCCTATGTTTTCCCTTGTGGTTTGGAACTGCTATGATCATACTTGATATGGGAGCAAGACAAGATTAGTGAGTCGGGTAGTGTTGTTCGGTGGTGAATCACGTCGGAGGTGGTTCCCTTTTGATGTTTATTATAATAAAAATAACATGACAAAAATATTATATATTAATATAACAATGACCTACTAAATCTCAAAAAAAAATTATCAAGAGACATCATATTTCATAATATTTTTTATAAAAAATAATAAATAAATAAAAAACTTGAATCGTCCTTTCATTGTTGTTATTTTTATTAAGACTTTTTCTTTTCTATTACATGAAAGTTAAGTAAGGAGAGACAAAACAATTATTTTCCTTGTTTCTATTATCAATTTTTTTTTCTTTTTTTAAAAAAAAATATCAAATCTTACCTTCTTTGTTTTTATTTTTATCGAGATCTTTTTTCTTTTTTTTATAAAAAAACTCAAATTCTCCCTTTTTATTTTTGTTTTTATTGAGATTTCTTCTTCTTCTTTTTCTTAAAAAAAAACTCAAGTCATCCCTTCTTTGTTTACATTTTTATCAATATTTATTCTTTTATTTTAAAAAATTGAATCTATGTATCGAATAATGCATCAAGATGGAGACGTATTTATTTGTATGTGTCCATGATAGAGATACATTAGTTTTGTAAGTGTCCGCAATAGAGACCTGTATTTGTAGGTGTCCGTGATGGAGATGTGTCCAATTTGTATGGACACGATCTATCGAAGTGTTTGAGACGCGTCTATGATGTGTCTGCTCCTAATAAATGTTGGACTCTAAAACACGACAGTCCCATGTTGTGTTCGTGCAATACAGATCACAATTCAATCATAATTAAGTCATTGAACCTTGAATTAGTGCCTAGATCGATTCAATAATTGAGGATCCAATTTTAAAATCATTGGTGAAAATCAAATTAAGTTAGGCGGTCAGACCAATTTAATTGAGAACCAATCATCAACTAGTTCAATTGGTCCAAAAAAATCATTTGACATTGAACCAATCATCAACTAATTCATTTTTAATACTTTTTGATAAATATAATTTTATAATTTATATTAATTTATAATTTTTAATATCTTTATTTTTTATAATTTGTATTATATTAATTTGAAAGTTTTTATTATAGTTTTAAAATCAAGGCCATATCAGTTGGTTCGACCACGACTCTAGTGAGCTGACCAATTCAGGTCACTTTATTAGATCGAACATCTGCAGTCTGCACCTTCACGTTCAACCATTGTATCTTCATGTGTTAGTTCATTTAGTTAAATTTGATTTTAAAAAAAAAACTATAAGTCCCGGTCATCCCATTTAATGTATTTTGAACTTACCACAAAACCAAATACCTTTTTTGTGTAATACCATTATAAGAATATTATAGATATTTGTTGCTTAATAAAAATTAAATTAATTTTAAACAAGATGTTCAAGTAAACGTATTATTTAAGACATTAATGACTAATAAAAAAATGCCATATTGTTATACATTTGAGTATAATAATTTTTTTATATTTTTAATTTAAAATTATATATTTAATTAAATAATAATTTATACATTTTAATTAGTATATAAGTTAATTATCCAGTTATTATTATTGATTAAATTTTTCTTAAGACTTCTTTTCAAGACATGGTATTAATTTTATTGAATTTTTTAGATATGAAATTTATATGATATATTCTTAAAAAAAAATTAATGCAATTCAATTAATAATCTACTAATCCAATATTTTGATCGATTTGATGATCAATACAATTTTTAAAACATTAACTTTTATTCTAGATATAAATTTGTTATTATTAACAAAATATCGTTATATTTTATTAAAACTTAAACTTAAATATTTTATTATATATAGTTTAGAATTATATATATATATATTAAATGTGAAAAATCTATAATATTATATTTATTTAATATTTTTATATTAATAATAATAATTATTATTATTATTTTATTAATACCAATCTGACCACTATTCAACTCAACTAAACTCAACTACATATAAATCATTTAACTTTGAACTAGTATATAAACCGTTTTAATAATCGGTTGAATTTTGAAAACACTAGTTATCATTTTTATTGACGCATACAAGTTCATTTATTATGACACACATCAGATCTAATATATAACATGTTTGCATCGCCGTTTTTCTCAGTAAATTTGTGAGATAGCATCTCTTCCTTAGCTTTGTGAGATAGTTTCTGGGTCCAAGAGAGCTTTGGAATTTGAAATTGCTCTTAAACAAACATACTCGTAGAAGTTGCAAGATGGATGCTTAAGAAACAAAAGGAAAATGAGTAGATTCATTCTTTGTATCGAATTTCAACAGCTATATAATTTACACCCATTACTTATAAGCTTCAAGAAAACGATTGCTACCCTGACTAACAGAAGCTACATTTACTCCCTTGATAATAACTAGTAGATCTGATCGCATGAAGAAGAGACGCGAGCGTGCTAGGGTCTAGGGATGTATATATAGCCTAAGATAGAGGTGCAATAAGTAGCACTCGTTCTGACATCTTATCGCCTATACATAACGAGAGTTTATATAGCGAAAACATAGATTAAGGCTAAGCAAATTAATACGAAACACCACCTACACATTTTGTGATATATCAGCAGCCACCCCTTTGATAAATCTCACAAGTATTGTTCATGTATTCTGGCACGGTTCTCTTCCCACCACAGTCTAGCATGCATCTCCCCAAACTTTTCTCGACTGCACCACATATGAGGAAACACCAAGAAATGAATTACGTACAGTTCTACAGCCACAAAAATAAACTAAAATATGCAAATCAATCACCATCCGTAGATTTATAACATGCTTATGAAATTGTGACAACATGTGGGAGCAGAATGAGTAATAGTAATAGATAAATCAGAATACAATACATAAAGCATCATAGTAGTAATTTGAACTTTTAACTTTAAATTGGGTCTAGTCACATCACAGGCTTAAAAAAAAATTAAAAAAAGATACGGTGAGCAGGTTCAGGATTACATGCCAGACAGAATTGTTTTGAAGATAATCTGAGTTCTATTGACAATGATATTAGTTCTCGAAAGGCAGCTGAGGGATTGCATTCCAACTCTTTTGAAGATACAGATACGACATGTTTAATTTATAGTTTGGAGGCCCCCAATGTACATTAAGAAAGTAAAACAGAAATAGTCTTGATTGATTTTCAGTTGGGTGTAATTGTAAAATGAATTTTGTGTCAATTTTGCCTTTGAAACTCGGTTTGAAATAGAAAGAGTTGTTTTGGCAAACTTTTGCTAAATGAAATTCATTCAAACTTAAGTTTGCAAACTTGAACGTAAACATGCATAATATTTCTGGTCTTTGTGACAAAGGTTAGTTCAATGTTGTAGGAGAATTGACTAAAACTGTAGGATAGTGAGTAAATTAATCGCACTCCGCCTTTTACGCTTTACACGTTTGCTATCAAGTATCAACAAGTATAAAGTGATTTAATTTCTTTTGCCTGATCAAACAATCAAGATAGAAAGCCTAGACTTTATGATCCACTAACTACTATGAAATATGAACTATCATTGTCAAAGACCATTGTTCCAAAAACAACTTACGCTGAACCATGAAATATGAATCTTGAAACATACTTTCTAACGTATACTTCAACTTTAATTTCATTATGAAAAATGGGGAAGCATTTGGTCATAAAGCTTTATGTCAAATAACAATTGGTCATAGAGCTTTAAGTCAAATATCAATTTTGGACCCTGTTTAAATAGAAATTAGAAGTGTTTACGAGACTTTCTCTATGAAAATATTTTTTATTTTTAGTGAAAAAATTCTCAAACAATTTTAAACTTATATTCAATTAGACTTTTACTAAATGTATATGAAAATGCGGTGATCACGTTGAAAAAATCACTGTGGCCTTAAAGCCTACTTGGTAGAAAAACGTGATCAGACAAACTCGACCTTTATGCAAGATTGAATCGTCTAAAATCAAAGTTGTTGATGCAAAAACACAAAAAGTTGTGGCAAGCGTACCTGAACCTGACTCTTCTGAGCTCCTTTTTGCCACCTGGGAGAGCTCTGATGGTAATGTAAACCCCAGGTTCGTCCTGCTCAACCCATTCACTGTCCAGATCACTGGCATTGCTGAATGATAGTTCCCCAGAGCGATCAGCTTCTCTTGATGAGCTACTTCTTAAGGAAGCATCGGCATCGATTGACGAGATATCTGTCTTGGCAGCAGCACTAATGGTGGACACCTTTGGGGTTGAGTTCACACCATTCGGGTCATAGTAATGCCGGGACTGCATTGACTGATGATCAAACGAATCTGAGGATGAGTACCCCATTCCGACCCCACCTCCTGCTCGGTATAAATTACAAGGTGGTCTTTCCCTGCTCAGTGGAGGTGTCACTGGGATCTCTTCTATTGATTCACGCTTTGAACTCTGCATCAACCAACACAAAATTACAAATCAAGAACACTAAAAAAGAGGTCAAAGCTTTCACCTAGGTAAACTACGAAAAAATGGGGACAGAAATGACAAAAGCATATAACAAATTGCAACAACAAAAATGATTTCAGGATACTACAAATATACACCTAGTAAGAGAAAGAGGTACGAGAGAAAGAAATGTAACGCTACGTCCAGTTTTTCTAGAAGCACTTTTAATATAGACAAATAAAAAAGAAATTAAAATAATTTTTTTCACAAATTAAAATTAACTTTCATATAAATTAAAAAAAAGATTTTAAAAAAGTTAATAAAAAAAGAATTTTTACAAATTAATTTATGTATTAACTAATTTTAATTTTCAAAAAAATCTATTTCATTTTTCCTTCTTAATTTTTCTTCTAAAAGTGTTTTTAGATAAATTCATCCTAACACACCCCAAGTATAGAAGGTGATATGCATAAAAGAAAGAGAAAAAAAAAAAATTTAATGTCAATGGTGTGTTTGGAATAGACAAGTGTTTATGTATCAATTACTCTTGTAACAAATACTCAATATGACATATACAAAATAACTACTGTTTTTTTAATATCATTTTGAAAAGCTTAATGAATATGCCTCATTAGTAAGATTTTATATTGAGTGACGTGACTTACGTATGATTATTATAATCAACAAATTTATCATATATCATCTATGATTTATAATTGAATAAGAAAGTAAAATATACAATGTCAATGCATATACCTTTTTATCTGATTTTGAATATACTTAGTTTCATAAATAAAATGATTTTGAATATTTGCAAGCATATTTCCATTGTGAAACATAATCGTTTCACGTTACTATTAGGAGGCCTAGACCACAATGAGCATTGCTATTTGCACCACTGTCACCACACGTCTGCATCTACATACCAAATTATCAAACAGTACACCACATGATGAATAAATAGATGCCTACAGTAACGTGAGCAGTGATGATTCTCTGGGTTTTAGCCCAAGTGACTGAAGTTAGTGCACATGCAAATACATGTCATAAATTAAAATTGTAATAATAACTCTATCTGTCAAAATTATAACATAAAATTGCCTAAATAAGCATTTGGGTCAAGTATGTATCACGATGCAGATGATTACAATTGTGCATGGCAATATGTCTAGAAGCTACGTAAATTTAGAATTTACCTCGTCTTCAGACCTTGGTGGAGTTGGAAGAGGGACAGCTTGGCGGTTAAGCCTTTGAACATTGTAAAGTTCCATGACCTTATCATAGTTCTCTGCCCACCATCTTTGAGCTTGCCATTTGTTAAATATCTCGCGACTGTCATAAAATAGCCATAATTCACCACTCAGTTGTTAAGTCATCATATCATGTGAACTATAAGTGAGAATGGGGAACTATCACACGTAGCATCAGAATGTTGGAAATCAACAATTTAATCTTAATCTAAAAATAATGAAAAACAAAAGACAGCTAGATGAACCGTTCCTACTTTTACAATTTTTGTCTTTGCCACCTCCATTGTCAATTTTTTTTCTTCAATTTTACCAACAAAAATCCAGCCTCTTTTTTTTTTTTTTTTTTGTGTATCAATGTATGGAATGGTCCCGGAGATTCTTAGCTTGAAACATCCAACTAGTCGCAATTTGCTGCTATTATGATCATGTTATTTTGTTGACCAAATTTTTGTTGATGATTTTTTAATTGTCAGTGGTGTATGACACTGTTCTCAATTATGCTGGGTCACTCGAGTAGATGCTTTTTGACAAAGAATTCTCTGATGAATAATTAAAAGCAAACCCGATCATTCCGTGAGGAAAATAAAGTTGTTCTAAGGCCAACATTGACCTTACAGTGGAGTTGTCTAAGCAATCGAAAGCATGTGGGGTCCCCCAACTTTCACTAATCGCACCAAACAACGAAATGATTGAAATGTTTAGTAGGTTTGAATATTAACTTAACAGCTAGTAGGTTCTTAAATTTCTGAACAAAAATTCGTTGGGTGATAAATAGAAAGAGAAAATCATTTATACATTGTCCCACTCACCAGCCTTGTTGGTTGAGATTGCACCAAAGGTCACCAAGTGGACGTAAGATATCCAATGATATCATTGATGCTTTTATCTCACGATGAGATAAAAGACAAAATTACGAAATTTGAAGAAAAGAGGACAAGACTATAAGCTATGCTATCTATGATCTAGTATCTACAACTTTACTAGGTCCCCACCTAGCAGATGTTTACATTTTGTCTTGTATATTTTTATGAGTGGAAGAAGATGTGGGAGCATTCCCCAGCAAATTACAGAGTAACAGACAAAAACTGTTATAGGAGGAAGACAAAGTCCGAAGAATCAAGCATGAAGAATATTTTTATTGTTTGTGAAAACAATATTTTTATTAATTATTTGAACATTAAAAAAAATTGACAATTTATGACATTATACATAAGATGTCAATTTTTTTTATTCTTGTTTGTATAATCATATGTTAAAAATAAACTAATTTTTAAAAAAAAATTGTCCTATTTTATCCTAGTTAATTTCCTAAAAATAATGCATAAGAGCTTCCTCCGACCAAACGACAAGACCCAGTTTTAAAGGTTCCCAAGGCAATTAACACTGACCCACATCCACTCTCAGGCCACGATAAGTTTTACTTTCGGACCCACTTTTGAGATTGCTTTTAGCAAAGGCGTGAAATAACAGGGGAAGATGGGCCCACCTAAATCCTTTCGTATATACAGAGGACGATTCATATTAGTCACTTATGGCGTTGAAATATTGAAGATTTTGTTTGCTTCACACTAATCACATATTGCAGAGGTGAGTGAGCATAATAGTTCATTTGTAACAAAAAAACAAAACAGACAAGGTTTGTCAGCATGAAGTTATAAAATTTGATTGCTTTCTGGAAATATATATTCTCAAGTGTTTGTTGGAGGATCGTTACCCACCTCATGCAAAATCATGCATCACACTACTTGAAAAGGCTTTACACTCCATATAGTCTAACACCCAATTCGTAAATGTTTCATGTACTAACACATTGCTCGATTTTTAAATATTTTGTATATTAATAAATTCATGATCATTAATATTTTTTTAACTTTTAAACCGCTGAATCACGACCAGGTGACCCTAATCAATAGAATAATATTTAAAAGAATTTCTAACAAATATTTCTTTTCAGTACAATTTTTTTTTTTTTGGGTAAAAGCGGAAAGTAAAACAGAACAAGTTAAAAGCCCCGCGGATACGTCACACTCGTTTTATCAGATAGAATAAGCAATATGATGAGGATGTGGAGACCTCAAACAAAGATCAGCACATAATTTAAATAGTACATTTGAAAGAAGAAATATTTAAAATTATTGGAAGGTTTTCTTATAATATTATATTTTTTCAATATATTTGTTATTTGTTTTATATACATATGATTGATGTTAATGCAACCTACGTAAATTTTAAGAAACAAATTAAAATCATTTTTTTGATAGAAAAATTTAAAATTTATTTTTTTTAGATCGTTATTACATCCACATTCAAATACAAACTGATACAACATTTGCATTTTTTTAAATATAAATTCTTATACAATCTACCCAGCTGATTACATTTTTCAATTCTTTTAAAAGGTTTTAGTATTATCCTGTTAATTTTCCCCTCTTGTATGTCGATCTACATTATATTTCACCAACCTGGGTCAGGTGTTCAAAATAAAAGAAACAAATCTATTAAAATAAACTTGCTTTTAAAGTTAGTAAATGAACCCATAATTTAATGATAGATGCCCTCTTTTAACTTTAAAATTGGACTTTAGATACTTCTTTTGATTCCAACGAACAATTATTTAAAACGTAAAATAAAATAAAACAAAAATGTCCATCATGCATATAAATTAATTTTCATTGTAGCTACAAACCAAACAAACAACACACAGAAACCGAAGCCATTAATCCCAAGACCAACACATAAACTTAGAAACACTAAAATTAGCCTAAGATTTAAAAAAAAAAAACTAAAATTAGCCCAAGTTTAAATAGTTTATATAAGATATTAAGTTTACATAAGTAGTTTGAGGAAATTGTTGAATTGAAAATACTGATAAAAGTGGTGTAATTTAACGTAATCTTGTAATTTTTTGAGTGAATCGATCACCTAGTCAGTCTCTCAGTCCAAATGAACCAATGACTATTTAAGTTTCTGAGAGTATTATGAATAGGAGTTTTTACGGGGTTCTTGAAATTAAAAATCAATTCTTGTACAGTTTTATTCATGTAGCAACTGATGCAAAAAGAGAACTGTGCTTAAGAATTATAAAATAATTATAAAACTCGATGTTAACTTCTCAAGAATAACACTGTTTAACAACAACTACAACAACAAAAATTGTGAAAACTTTTTAAAATTTCACTATGTTGTAATTGTAATACTTAAAAAAGAAAAGAAAAAAAAAAGTGGGTTAAACAACTCCGCATGATTGTATCTTTAGAAGAGATCGTGTGGGTAGTATTTTTTTTATTTTTATATCCTGATATATTCTTGTCAAACATGATTTATAATTGTTCAAATATTATTTCAATAAAGACAGAAATCCAATTTGGGAGCAAGCATCAACTCGACTGTAGTATTCTAAGACAGCTTTACAGCTAGTAAATCAAGAGTTTTGATTATGACATTGTCTAATTATTTTTAAAAGTTTAAAATATAGTAAGTCAAGAGTTTTGATTATGACATTGTCTAATTATTTTAAAAAGTTTAAAATATACGATATAATCCATGTTCTTAGTGCTTTTAAAGTTATCAAAATTTGGTTGTAGTCCTTAAAAACAATCTACTATTTTATTCATCTAATTTAAAAATATATAGTTTTTTTTTTTTAAGATAAGAAAAATTACTGTAAAAAAGAAGATTTAACCTAGATGTCCATACTTTTAACTACCTCTTTCTATTTTCACCTAACTACTAAGATTGAACCTAGATCTCCATGCTTCTAACTACCTCTTTCTATCTTCACACAACTACTAGGTTAATCAAAGTTGTTACATAACTTTTATTTTAATCCTTCAAATACTTTAAACGTAAAAACAGTTTTAAAACAATATATAGATGTTGAAAGTAGTACAGTTTTTAGATTAGGGAAATTAAATTAGCACAAAAGAAAATTAAATAGACCGAAATTAAACTCTTGAAAATTATTTTCTTTTAATTATGATATTATACGAAGTATTCATAAGTAATTACGATGATTTTCGTTAGAGACCGTACTAAATTCAAATATTTCTAATAGACAAACGATATATTTTATCTCAGAATATATTATTATAATTTTATTATAAAAAAATTACGAGTTATGAATTATTTATTATTTATAATTTATAATACGCATTAATTGGAGTCCAGCATTGAGAAGCGATGGTAGCGAGAGTAGGTCTAGGCAGGGCACTACTAGGGGGAGCATGGACCAAACTCAAAACGGCACGGAAAGCAACAATACGACAGAGAGCGAGAGGCGCGAATGGCGTTACCTGAATCGAATCCTTTTGAGGTGGTTCCCGCCACGCGGAAGCGAGACGAAGGTGATGAGAACGCCGGGCTCCACCTGCGCCACCCACTCCTTGGGCTCCTCCTCCTCCTCCAGCAGCAGCACCACTCGCCGCCCGCTCGAGCTCGGCGTCCCCTCGCCGCTCGATATCCCCTTCAGCCGCGCCTCCAGCTCCTTCCCCCACCGCCGCCGCGACGACTCCGACTCCGAGTCGCCGCGGCTGAGCCGACTCGGGTGCGGCGCGCATGGCGCGCACTGCTTGTAGGCGCCCGAGGCCTTCAGCGCCATCTCCTTTATCTGCGCCGTGAGCGACTTCGCCTGCCCTCGCGAACTCGGATCCTCGGTGGCCGAGTCGGCGCCGGGTTTCTTGGGGCGTGCGATGCACGTGAGCATTTTGGAGTGTGCGGAATCGGATCGGTTACTTAGCGTGATGTGAGGAGGAAGAAGAAGAAGAAGAGAAATGAGAGTGTGTGTGTGTGTGTGTTTTCTTCTTCCTTTCCTTTCCTTTGGCTTTTGCTTTTTGGTCTTTGGTTTTGTTTACGTAGCGGAGGAAGGAGCGGAGAGGAATCTGCTTTTTGTGTTGGAATTCTCCCTCTCGCACCTGTCGTTGAAACTTTTTAAATTATTTTTTGTGTTTTTTTTAATAATAAATACTTTTAGTTTATTTATTAAATAATTATATCACTGTTAGTTTTTTTCTTTACATGTATATTACTATATTACTATTATTACTTTATTCGCGTCTTTTGGGCTATTTATCTCTTGACTAACGTTATAAGTTATACTATAAAACTTATTTAATTTTATAATAAAAAATAATTAAATTATTTGTACATTTCCATTTTGACATAAAGGCTTAGTGGAGGATCTACTACTAAGGCTATGACTAGGAAGTTATAGGAGGATTGACCCAGCATAAAGTATGAAAAGTCCAAGTTATTTTTGAGTTGGGCTCTACTTTGAAGCCCATGTAATATAGGACTTGGGTCTATGTGGACTTGTACTTTGTGGACCTTGTATTTTGGCCATATAGATTAGGATTTTCATTTGGGCCTTGTATTTTAGGGTTTAATCCCATATGAGATTACATGTAAATGTAATTTAGATTATATTTAGGGTGCATTTCAGCACCATCTGATCGGTTAAGAGGTGCTGCACATGGCATGCTCTAAATGACCTTTAAATGTGATCTAAATCACACTTAAATGCAATTAGCACATGGAGGCACATGGGTGCTAAGGTTCTGAATCCAAATTTGAATTTTTGAATTCAAATTTGGCGTCTAAGGTTTAAATTAACCATACTATGATTTAGTTTAAACCTTAGGTTAACCTAGCTTTCCTTGCACACTTACTAAACCTATAAATACTTCCTAGTCGTGAATATTCCTCACTTTTGAGATATATGAGATTTCTATATTCAGAAAATTCTCTCTACATCCTCGAGGCCAAGGAAGTTAGGGGAATTGTTTCTCCTTAAGCATCTTCAACAAGGAAACCTTCCTTGTGTGTAGGCATGGCAACGGGACAGGGCAGGTACGAATTTCATGATACTCGTTCCCGCGACTCAAATTCATCCCCGTCCCCGTCTCCATATGATGGGGGTTATTTATGGTATTTGTCTTAGAGGATATTTTATGAGTTATTTTTATAAGGTTATTACACAAACATACTCCACAATGATGAGATATTGTCCGCTTTGGGACTTAGCCCTCACGGTTTTACTTTTGGTCATCACCCAAAAGGCCTCTCAATCATTGAAGTATGTTTGTATTATATAAGTTGTTATTTGTTGTGTTATTTTATCGATGTGGGACTTGTTTGTATCCCAACAATCCTCCTCTCAAACAAGGGACCTAACCTTTCATGCAGCGGAATCTGTCTTTATATAGCACATTATATTTTATGAGTTTTTATGGGGGTTATTGGTTGTCACCGAATCCAACCTGCAGCTCTGATACCACTGATGAGGTTATTTTTATGGTATTTGTCTGGAGGATATTTTATGAAATATTTTTATAAGGTTATTACACAAACATACTTCACAATGATGAGATATTGTCCGCTTTGGGCCACTGATGGGGGTTATTTATGGTATTTGTCTGAGAGGATATTTTATGAGTTATTTTGATAAGGTTATTACACAAACATACTCCACAATGATGAGATATTGTCCGCTTTGGGACTTAGCCCTCACGGTTTTACTTTTGGTCATCATCCAAAATGCCTCTCAATCATTGAAGTATGTTTGTATTATATAAGTTGTTATTTGTTGTGTTATTTTATCGATGTGGGACTTGTTTGTATCCCAACACCATACTCATCGGGTATGTGATTTTTGTCCCATCCCCATCCCCGTCGTGTATACCCGTACCCGTACCCATAAAAAATTAATTTTTTTTACAAAAAATACAATATTTTTAACTTATCTTTATGTTATATTACAATGATAATTGGGTTGTTTGTCTATCTCATATTTTAATCAAGAGACTTCTTAATAATTAAACAACTACAAATATTTCACATCATAATAAACAACCACACATAATTAAAATCTTACAAATTAAACAACTACAAATGTTGAGTAATGTTACAAATAAACATCCACAATGTTGAGTTGAAATAACAAAATAAATTAAAAATTTCTCCGATAAAAAATAGAATTCATCTTGCAAGTGAAAAATGTTGAGTAATGTCATTAAGCTTCAATCCACCTATCATAAGACAATTTATAAAAAATTAGAATTGAGTTATGAATGAAAATTTTAAAAATTAGAATTGAAAAATTAGATTGGACTAATGAAATTGAAATTCACTTACAACATCTATTAATTTTGCACATGCTCAGTAATTCCACTTGCATGTAATCCACCTGCATACAAAAAAGATAAACTTTAGATATGATAAATCAAATTGGAAATTTGTAATATTAAAATATAATATACCTTCATCATCAGATTCACTTTCACTCATTAAAGTAATTTTTTCTTTAGTGGCTTTAGCACCTACAAACATCAAATATAGAATATTAATTAGAATTGATACAAAATTACTAATTGACCATTAATGCTAATTTATTTTTTATTAATTTACCTAGATAGTCTGAGTTCCATAGCCAACTTTTAGTACACATCAAAGCTTCTACGGTAGTATGATTAAGTCGACTACGATTAGGACTTAATATTTGACCGCCAGCACTAAAAGCAGATTCAGAAGCTACAGTAGTGATTGGAATGGCTAAAACATCCCTTGCAATTGCTTGAAGTGTTGGATACTTCAACCCATTTGTTTTCCACCATGATAAGATATCAAAATCCGATGTAATAGGTAAATTATCTTCCTCCAAGTAATAATCCAACTCTGTTTTCATAGATGAAGTTCTAGCTTTTTTCTTTTTTGCCATGAACTTCACAAAATCACTCATGCCACTATCACCAACATTTCCCTCCTCAAATGATGAAAACCCAGAAGAAGACCCATCATTCTTCTTTGCTTGATATTCAGAAACCAAATCATAACACAATTGACGAATTCTACTAATTTCCAAATCACAATCAATGTCATACAATTTATCAAAATAATATTCAAGCAAATCCATTTTGTACCTTGGATCTAAAACAGAAGCTACTCCCATGATATCATGAATGACACTCCAATAACTTTCAAATTTCTTTAACATTTGTTCTGCCATATTGTGAATGATTTGATTAGGAGACTTTACCCATTCATCTATTGCAAGTTTGATCTCACAAATCTTTGGGAAAAAAATGTTGGCTGTTGGATATTTGGATCCAGAAATTATTTCTGTGATATCATTAAACATTCTCAATCTCCCACAAACATCTTTTGCAAACTCCCATTGTGATTCAGTTGGCAAACAAGTGTATTGAGATTCACGCTGCTTTAATCGAAAAAACACATCCTTATAACACAAAGCAATATCAAGCATCTTAAAAGTGGAATTCCATCTTGTTGGACAATCTAAAGTTAATTTTTTGTTGAAAGGAATTCTTACTCCTCTAAGTTCTATTAGCTTTCCAAACCACACACATATAGCATATTCCATAATTACATACCAAAAATTTCCATAACCAAGCCAAATTATTCAATATAATAACATAAATAACTAAACACTTAAAACAACCATCAACTTAAACAAATGATAATCCTCATATAAACAAAATAGCATATTAAAAATTATACTACCCTTATCATGCTCATACATACTAGATTAATTCTTATAAGTACTACCCTTACTTGGATAAACCTGAACCAAAACTCGGGCAGAACCTCCTCCTCTTCCTTAAACAAGAACCGAAACTCGGGCAGAATCTCCTCCTCTCCCTCATCTTTTCTCTCCCCTGGCAGAACCTCTTCTACTGAATTCCTCTTCCTTCCTTTCCTCTTTTTTTTCCCCTTCTCTCCCTTTTTCTCTCTCTCTCTCTTCTTTCTCTCTCTAGGACCTTCTCTCTCAATCCTGCTTTTCCAACACCCCCAACCCCCTATTTATAGAGTTCTGCCTGCCTAACTCGGAACGGCTCGTTCCAAAAACAGAACGCCCGTTCTAGGCCTGAAAAATCCACGTAAAATTTTGAACTGGAACGGCCCGTTCCGAAACCAGAACGGCCTGTTCCGAGACTCATTCAAAACGGCCCGTGCTCCTTCCAGAACGGCCCGTTCCAAAATCAATGAGGCCTGTAAACAAGAAACTATAAAACCAAAAACCCTAGAGAAGAGAGCACAAATTACACTTTTGAATGCTCTGGCTCTAAGGCACGATCTAGGAAAAAACCCTAGTCCACCCTTTGGCCGGAACATTTTGGCGCCCACCGTGGGGCTACGGTGAAACTTTTCCT